ACCTTGGCGCAAAACCATGCGGTCGCATGGTTATAATAACTAACCGTTGAGATTAGTTTTTGACCATTTTTCATTCAAATTTGGTGACTTTTCATTTATTTTTTGCACCATTTTGTGGGAACTTGGTTGAGCCTATAAATGGGTGATCCAAGTGCAAGAAAATTACATGAAAATTATATTACATTCTATCCCCTTATCTTCCAAAAATTGAGAGAAAATTATCACAGTCATTCCATATTTTTTCACTTGTTCATTGTGAAGATATACTTTTGCTTTTGATGTTCTTCACATCAAGGTTTGTTCAATTTTACAATCGGTTTGTCGAAGGTCCTTAAAAGCACTAGAAATGAGGCAAATAACGTTTGAGGACAACGAGATTAATTTCGTGCTCAAGCCTTCATACATACATCTATCTTCTTCCTTTTTTATTTTCTTTTTGTTTTTGTTATCCATTGCCACATTTTTCAACAATCTCAAATATTATTTGATTATTATTACTGGGATGGAAATGGTATCTACACTTGCTACCATCAAAATGATAAATTAAGATCTGGTGCATTTGGATAAATTCTATGGCGCAAATTTCACAAGATGGCAAGACAAACTCAAGTTTCTTTTAATAGCCTTGAAGATTTTTTACGTGCTTGATCCAAAATTGGAGCATATTACCGATGTAACTGACAAAGACACTGAAGAAATTTGTGCAGATTGGAAAAAAGGGAAGAGGATGAATTGATATAACGTGGCCATATCCTAAATGCATTGTCCGATCGTCTTTATGATCTCTACACCAACACTATATCGGCAAAAGAAATCTGGTATTCGCTAGAAAGCAAATAAAAAACCGAGGAGGAAGGTACCAAAAAGTTCTTAACATCTAAATATTTTGATTTCAAATTTTTGGATAATATCCCGTCATTGCCTCAAGTACATGAGTTACAAATAATTGTAAACAAATCGAAAGCTGTGAAAATCGAACTTCCCAAAACTTTCCAAGTAGGAGCAATTGTTGCTAAACACACTAGTTCTTGAAAAGGATATAGGAAGAAAATTCTTCACAATTACGAATATTTTTCTTTGGAAGATATACAAAAATATCTCCGTATTGAAGAAGAATCAAGGACAAGAGATAAAATTGAAATTTTTTATGATGGCTCTTCGAAAACCAATGCCGTGGACAATGTGGACAACTCCAACAAAATTAAAAGGAAAGGGAAACTTCTTGGTTCTAGAAAGGATCAAGGGAAGTTAAAAGCAAAGCCAAAGGACCTTGTTATGTTTATGGGAAACTGGAACACTATGCTAGAGACTGCAGGCATAAGAAAGAACAAAAAAGGAAGGACAAGTGAATTCCGTTGATGAGATTATCGCCACAGTGAGCGAAATTGACGCAATCCAAGGCAAAGTTCCGGGTTGGTGATATGATACATGTACTACAATCCATGTATGTTATAATAAGTCTCCCATCAAAACTTATCATGACATTGAAGACAATCAATAAATACAAATGGGGAATGAAGGAAGATCAAAAGTTATTGGCAAATGAAATGTTGAACTCATTTTCACTTCGGGAAAGAAAATCACTTTGATAAATGTCTTGCATGTATCGGAAATGAATAGAAACATATCAAACTATGTACTATTGAGAATAATTCAAATAAAACTAAATCTTTTGTGTATGTTACTGATTCATTTAGTATATGGCATGGTAGATTAGCACATATAGGAGTAAATACTTTGAAAAAAATGATTAAATGTGGATTAATACAATGTGGTATTAACAACTTAGAAAAATGTGAAATATGTATTAAATAAAAAATAATTAAGAAGCCATTTTATTATTCATTCTGATATATATGAATTGAATGTTATGCTAACTATAGGCGATAATAGATATTTTATTACTTTTATTGATGATTGCTCTAGGTATACTTATATGTACTTACTAAAATATAAAGATGAAGCTTTTAGTGATTTTAAGACTTATAAAATTGAAGCCGAGGACCAATTAGGAAGAAAATTAAAGACTCTAAGAAGTGATAGAGGTGGGGAATACTTTTCTAATGAATTTAACATGTTTTGTAAATAAAATAGAATAGTACATCAAGCTTTTGCACCTAGGATATCGGAACAAAATAGACTAGCAGAAAGAAAGAATGGAACATTTTTGGAAATGGTAAATGCCATGTTGTTAAATTCTGAATTACATTTTAATATATAGGGTGAAGCCTTGCTTAGTGCTTGCCATATAACAAATAGGATTCCTATAAAAAAGAATAAAATTTTCCCATATGAGATATGAAAAGGTAGAAAACGAAATATTAATTATTTTGAAGTGTGGGGGTGTCTTGCCTATTGTAAGAATATGGATCCTAAGAGAACCAAGTTAGGTATTAGAGAGATCAAATGTGCCTTTGTGAGATATGCTTTTAATAGCAAAACCTATAGATTATTAAATCTCGAATTAGATGTTAAGAGATTCTTCAAGAATATAATGGTAGCTAGGAAATTTGAAAATAATAAGGATATTCCAAGCTTTAGAAGCTCACTAGAAGAGACATCCATAAAAGATGTTGAAATTGAATCTCATAGAAGTAAAAAAACTAGAAAAGAAAAGAACTTAGGAACAAATGAAATAGATTCCCAACTTATTTCTTTTTACATAGTAGAGGGAGATAGAAAGGATGTTGTAATAACAATTCCTTTTGTTCTTCAAGTAGAAAGTGATCCCAAAACTTATAAGGAAACAATGCAATCTAGAGATTGTATGTTCTAGAAAGAAGCAATAAATAATGAAATAGATTCTATTATTTCGAATAACACTTGGGAAATAGTTGACTTACCAGCAGGCTCTAAAGCTATTTTTTGCAAGTGGATATTTAGGAAGAAATACAATTCTGATGGATCACTTAATACCTACAAGACTAGATTAGTGGCTAAAGGGTATCGTCAAAGGAAAGGGATAGATTACTTTGACACATATGCACCCATGGTTAGGATAACCTTGATCAAGATCTTATTTGCAATAACATCTATTTATGGTTCACATGTTCATCAAATTGACGTCAAGACAACTTTCCTTAATGGAGATCTCGAAGAAGGGGATCTATATGGAACGATCGGAAGGGTACGTTCTACCAGGAAATAGACATAAGGTGTGCAAGTTAATTAAATCCTTATATGAATTAAAGTAGGCTCCCAAAAAGTGATATGAGAAATGTCAAATGAATTTAAGCACAATTCGGTAAATTAATGCCTCTAAACGGAAAGTGAATGATAATATAATCACATTAATGTGTCTATATGTTGATGATATGTTGATCATTAGCAATAATATAGACATGATCAAAGAAACAAAAGGGTTTCTATCCTCTAATTTCAAAATGAAGGATCTGGGAGAAGTGGACACTATCTTTGGTATCAAAGTTAAAAAAGATAGTGGAGTTTTTACATTAAGACAATCACACTATGTTGAAAATGTGGTAAATAAATTCAAACTTTTGAACTTTAAAGGGGCAAATACTCCTATAGATCCAAATATCAGATTGATAAAAAATGAAGGTAGAGCAATTACACAAGTATAATATACAAGTGTAATTGGAAGTCTTATGTACGCATCACAATTTACAAGACCTGATATGGCATTTGCTGTAAGTAAACTAAGTAGGTTACTAGCAACCTGAGTTCAGAACATTGGAAGACCATCGACAGGGTTCTTGATTACCTAAAGAAAACCAAAAACCTTGGGCTACAATATACAAAGTTTCCTAAAATCTTGGAAGGATATACCAACACAAGTTGGATATTGAGTGCGGGAGAGAATAAATCTACTTCAGGTTGGATATTCT